AAAAACGAAAGCACATTGAGAAGGCGGCCATATACAGACTGAATCGGAAAAGAGACTCACACACAAATAATGTATTCCGTATGAACGCCGTAATGGTGGCTCTTGCCTCTTATGAGAAGCCAGCGAAGGCTGCATGTCTATTAGCCTCGTCTCTTTGTGCATTATCATTGGGTTCTGCTCAAGACCAAATGACCCGGAACGAGCTGAGATGCTAAGCAGATTTGAGCCTGGATACTGCTGGGATGTGTGATGAGGATGCATGAAAGAGTGGTTGTTATAGGATCTTGCTGCTGCTGCTGCTGAGCAGAGTTGTGGGAAGCAGAGGGAAATGCAGCGACAACCTCATCGTTAAACAAGAGAGATGAGTGACCTCCACCTTGGCAGCGGTGGCTGCATAAGCACACAGAGCAAAGACAACGTTACACATTCGCCAATAAAACTGACTAAAATGAAACTAAATCTATTACAGGCGCCGTTTCTAGAAATAGCCGTTCTTCATAGCACACTTATGAGAATCCAGTAATACCGTACGCCTTTGCACAGTTGGCTACGTACGGTGCGAAGGGGGCTCAACATACACACCCAGACTGACAGCATGACGAGATTCGTGGTCTGAGTTGACCCGACCCGGTTAAAACAACCGTCACTCGTGTTGGTGGCTGTGAGCCACCAACCGGGTTCAAAGCGTGGCATGCGCTAACCACTGTGCTACCGCTCCCCACGCACAACCTGCTGGACATCTGTGAACAAAAAAGAGCTTCGTAGTGCAACGGATTCCTCCTGCAGTCTGAAATAAAGAATGTGATCGCCACAGAGTCAGACACACAATGCCTTGGGCGCGGCGTCCAACCAGGCAGGCTGCGTGCAACGAACAGAGGTCAACTACGAGCCCAGGGCTCGCCTGGCATTTCAGGACCCCCCCCCCCGCCTCCCCACGATTGCAATTAAACTCACACCGCCAGCAGTAAAGGCGCGGGGGGGGGGGGGGTCTCTTTCTGTTTGAGTGTCCCGTGGTGACGTTGACGCGAGAGGCGAGGTTGATGAACCTGGTCGCCGTGGACCCGATCGAAGGGAAGCGCTCACGGACCGGGTCCCCCCCCCCCCCCCACAGCTCCCTGGCGAGCCGCCTGATTGCGGAACCCGCCCGCTAATTAATCCGCAGCCGAGGGGTAATTAATGAACCTTCCCGCCGTGTTGGGGGACACGAGACTTCGCCAGATGATCAACGATGGGCTGAGGGGGGCGTTGGGGGTAGGCTGGTGGGATATCGCGCACCAACTCCACATTCTCACGTCATCACTGGTCTTCCAAGGACGTCGCTCATGCAAACACGTGGCTCAAACACCTCCGTGTACGACGAGACATCGTCATCAGTTGTGATCTATCCACTGCTGGATGAACGCCTCCACACGCCGTGTCGGCCATTTGGGTGGTTTAACCATACTTCACCACGTGTGCGCAGTGCGGGTTGGTGAATGAGACGGTGGTGCGGGGGTGAGATCGGTTCACATATCACTCGCCACTGATGTTAGCCTCGGCCGGGAATTGAACTCAGTTACGCAGGCTTCATAGCACGCGCGTTGCGCAACATCACTGCGCCACCTCCATGAAAGTCTCCCTCGCTTCTTATCGCTGCATCCGTGGCGTGGCATCGCGGCCAATATGGGGCAGACGCCCGTGGGAAAATACAACGCCGATGCCGAATGCGTCCACGGTTAATGCTCGGATATTTAAATGCATTCGTTCCATTTTGTGGGGTCATGAATTAATTAAACCTCTGCGCCTGATGCGGCCCTTCACCCCGACGAGTCTCCCAAATGACGGACCCAATTAAAGGCGAGAGGCAGAAGCATGGCGACTCATCACTCGCTACGCCCCGTGCCAAGGCCGCGCCCGGAGAATAAGTCCTGGAGGTGAGCACACAACGAGGGGTGAGGGCCTTCTGGTGGAGGGGATGGGGGTATGGATAGAGGGAGCGATGAGGGTGGGGAGGGAGAATGGGGGGGGGGGGGGGGGGTGCGGAGATGGGGCTGGGGCTGGGGAAAGGGAGGGTTGTTGATGAGGGAGAATGGATGGAGGGAGCATGAATAGATGATATGATATGTATATATATAAATAATATATAAAATAAATAATGTTTATATATATAATTCCGATTTTTTTTTTTTCTTTCAGAAAACTCTCGCTGTGGCTCATGCCGTTTTTCAGGAGGGCCCTACCAAGTTTTCACAGTGGGGGGGCGGGGGGGGGGCGGGAGGTAAATATTGCTGTGTATAATTCAAATTGATTTGAGGAGGGAGACAGGGAAGATGGGATAGGGTGGACGAATGGATAGCGGAGGATGGAGAGAAATAGGAATGAGGATAGCTAGTGGATGGAAGGAGGGAGAGATTCATGGCGATGGGGTGGGGGGGGTTAGATAAATGAGGGGGGTAGAGGGGGAGGCTGGATATGGGGTGGAGGCGCGAGGAGTGTGGGCTTGAAGAAAGGGTCTGCTCTGCCCGGTCACCCCGGGGCCTGGGTGATGAAGGGAGCCGTCAGCACCAAGGATGCGGGTTCCTCCAGACCACTCAACTCTCTTCATCACGCGCGGCGCTCCGATGAGACGCGCGACCAACAGTGAAATGAGAGCAACGCCACATGCAGCAGGCAGCGAGCAGCCGCGTGTACGTGTGTTAAACTTCTTTCGCACCCTACGTAGCCAACCGTGTTGATCGTAGATGCGTGCGCGGCGGTACAGAGACACGTGGCTTACAGCAGGATAGGGAGACCACGTGGACATCATGACACGGTGACGACACCACGTGGATACCAGCACACCACGTGGACAATATGACAAAGATACCGCGTGGACATCAGAACAAAGAGGCACGACCCACTACTAATCCTATATCACCGCGTTGTGCAGGAGTTGCACGCCCGGTGTGAAACTTGGATGAAGGTGGGGATCAGTGCTGCTCACGGAAAGACGCGGCACTGCGGGCAGAAGAACTCTTTCTACGGTGGAAAATTCATCCCAAACACTGCCACGTACGCACGCGAGCACACATGCAGTGATGGGCTGAACGAAGAAGAATTGGGGCATCTATTTTAGAATTCTCGGCATGCATCTCGTTGGAGTTGGGTATTTCATGTTGGGACGCGAGAGCCGTCATCTCATCCATCTCAAGGGCGCGCGCGCCCGAGGAGGCCGGCTGCCTCGCGCGCGCCAAGGCGGCCTCGTCAGACACGATCACTTTCCTCTTCTGAGAAATAGACACTCGAGTTCGAATTCGGGTTTCAGCCGCCAGGGATTAAGACTGGTTCGTCATTTTAGCGAGTTGATGGTCTCAGCCCCGCCATCCAGTGACTGCATACCAAAACATAATTAAGTACATTTTCACTTAAATCGGCAAATTCACGTTATTATACTAAAAAAAACCAAACGTGTTGCCGGCTGGCCGGCTGGAGGGAAAGACGGATTGACGGACGATCACGTCCGAAGAACGTGGGCTGCTCTATTAGGAAAATGTTTTGCTGACTGGTTGGCTGGTTGGATGTTCGTTTGGATGGTTGGATAGAGAGAGGGAGGGATGGAGGGACGGATGGTAACATCCAAAGGACGCGTGGGCTGCCATGAAGACGGACATAAAATTGGCCTGACTGCCAAGCGACGAACACCTCGACATCAGGGGCATGTGGCTAGGAGGAGCACCACCACCCAGCGTGGATAGAAGGTAATTGAAGGCAATTAGGAAGTGGCTCTGTGACATCATCTTCCCTGGGGAGACGATGTCACGATGCTCACTGTGAGAAAGCTGAATGGATATTCTTTCATCTCATTACAACGCGACACCGAGATGTGCATGGCACAGGTCCCTCTGTCCATCCACGACGGAGCGTGAAGCACTCCGCCCCCACGCCATTCGGATAGCGGGGGCCGTTTGGCCATACTTCACCACGTTGGTCAATGCGGATTGGTGACGGCTGGGAGCACAGGAATCACTGCAGTGGTTTATTTTCTGCACTGCCGTTTGCCGTCCAACGCGTAGCGCCGCAGGAGCAGCGGCCGACGACTCCCGCTGTGCGCCTTGCGACGACGGGAATGGAATGGGCGCCTCTGAATGTCCTCTCAGAAGTTCACTTTGTGCGCGCTCAAAATGTTTGCCGACGAACCGACGAATGAGAACGGGGGAGAGGAGAGGCCATCGCGCGCACCCTCCGTGAGGGTCGCTTAGTCGGAGGGAATTCACTCAGCGAGTGCGAAATCACCGAGCCAAGCGCTCGCGCCCTCGGTGGCCACGCGCAGCGCTCGCAAGCGCTCCGCTGAACTTAGCCAGCGGACAGTCATCACCGATTGGCGACGTGGTTCGTACGATGCCACAGCTGCAGTGTGGGTTGTTACGAAGACCCTGACGGTGGAGGTTGGCATCATAGAGACCTTGGCCTGTCTGGAACCTGTCCAGCAGGGCCCGATGACGCAACGAGAGCAAAGCTCAGACGCGGCGCCTCCATCTGATCCGTTGGAGAACCCGGCGACATTCGCCCCGGTGAGCCTCCCTACTCGGGGCTAACGCCACGGGAGGCGTCGTGTTGTCGGCTTCTTCTCGTGGGAGGTTTCCGTGGTCAGAATACGCTCGGTGGAGCCATCACCAACGGTTCAGTCGGCAAGCCCAACCCAGGTGTATTCACTTGTCACGGTGGCATAACTGCAGCGGTTCCAGTAGTAAAAAGTGGCCAAATATCAGTTAATTCATTATACAATAACCATTGGGAATGAGTGGGATTATTAATGAATTACTCGTATTATTAGCCGCGTAAGTCGCTGCGAGTACATTTTCGATTTCTTACTTGGGTGGTGCCAATATCTGCTCCGAGCCATTGGGCTAATTTTGTTTGACAAATCCAACCGCGCTATGCACCGCGGCATGTTGGCAGTTACAGCCAGCACCGTGAACCCGCGAGGCTCCTTGACACAGACGATGACTCCCCAGCCAGAGACGCCGGTCGCACTCCGCATACACAAGGAATGGTGGTTTATTGGCGTGCATAGCTAACACACGTTCACTAACACGAGGTGAGCAAAACGGAGTCGATAGAGACATTTAAATGGCAGCTGAAGGCCCCACCAACTGTTTATAAATTGCCTCCTCCCTAAGTCTCTGTTGTGTCTCAGTAGACTCCTTCCCCCCCCCCCCCCCCCCCAGTTTCTTCTCAGTAATTTTCTTCTCTTTGCTTGCATGGTGCTCTCCTGTCCATTGTTTAAGGGCAACTTATACATCTAAATAATTGTATTATTTGTCATTCTACTTCATCGAGCAGTAGATTGAAAAATTACGGTATGGGTGAATATTTACAGGCATTTGTCATTACAGGAAAATACATTGAACCTGTTAGTACAGCAGTGGACACTGCCTGTAATTACTGTTTCAAATTTATGTTTAAACGATTGATATTTACAGGCATTTGTCGTTGCACTGATGAAGGTCTCCACCATACCATGTTGTTCATGGGGATATGTTTGACCACACTTCACCATGCTGGTGAATGCGGGTTGGTGAAAAACGGAACCAGGACCGGCCCAGATATGACTCGCCACAGATGTGAGCCGTGGTGAGAACCCAAGAGACCAGGGTGAATGCCAATTGCAAGAGTGATCCTGGGCCACCAACATGACAAGAGCAAAAACAAATAAAAGTAAACAACAGCAATGAAGCAAATATAAATCATGACAAAAATAAGCGTGCCCAAATTAAATAAAAAAAATCTTATACAGGGGTTCACACAGCGCAGCGCACAAACCACCTCGCCACCACTCCCACCACGTATTGCGGCATTGATGTTTGACGAATATTGCTGTAGCTGAGGGGGGCGCAGGGGGTAAGGGGTGGATAGTGAACACAGCAGAGCTCCGCTCACCTCTCACCTGTTCGCATCCCCCACCCACCCTGGACTGGCGGATGAAGACCGCGCGGCTGCTGGAGGCCCTGGCGAGTGACCCGTGACGTGCTGGCAGCTGCACTTCACCAATAATTCAGGTTGGGTGGGGGGTGGGGGGGGAACTCCTAACCCTCCTTAATGCCACGTGTCCGTGATCCACACGGGATTGAGTCTCACGTTCGCGTCATTATTTGTAACGTTCTTAGCGTGCACCTAAATCCTTTCCCACTTGGGAAATAAAACCTGTGCCTTGTCAGTTGATACAAAAAAAAATATTTTATATAGTTCGGGTTCTTGATGATGATAATTATTTGTGATAATGGATGATGTTTTATGGTGCCTTGGGTGATGGTTTTTGATGATGGACGATAATTGTTATTCCTCTTGTTTTCCCATGTAAGCCTCACCGAGTCTCATGCCTCTCTTTCAGGAGGGTTCTGTCAATTTTGTTTTGCAGGAGGCGGCGATGATTGCCGTAAATTCGTTATTCCAATTGAGCAATTTGCAGCGTCATTTTAATAATTTGGGAAATTTGAACCATGGACGCCGGCACGTAATGGCCAACTTGTCACGGAATCTTCAACGTAAACTGTGAAAGAGACGTTGCGTATTATCATCAGTTCATACCGAGCACCACCGCAGTAATAACCAGGGCTGCCGCTGGGTTCCGAACAGCGAACCTTTGCAACCAGTGGCGAAACTGCTGGCCACTGCGTCACTGCCCAAAATGCTTTTTGATGTGGAAAGATTTAAGATGAAGATGATGATGATTTTTAACTGCTGATATTTGATGATGAAAAATAATGTGTGTCGATTACGATTACGATGGTGATGATACAATATTATATTGAAGATTGTGATTGTGTAAGATGTTCGTGATGATGATCCGTGCTGGTCATCGTTCACGTTTGCCAAACTCTGTGAGATCCACCTCGCCGAGGTGAGCGAGCCGTGATGAATTTCGCCACCGCCACCGCGACCGCCACCGCTACCGCCACCACACCCCCACGCGTCGAGAGAAGTAATGAAGGAAGACGTCGCCATCATTTCCCTTTCAAAAACATCCGCCAATTACGCATCGCCGGGGGCAGCGGCGGGGGAATTATGCGGAAGGAGGAGGAGGAGGGTGACGTGGCAGCTCTGAGCTGAGATCCCCGCGTGTTTAGAAATTAAATAACGAACGTTTAAATGTCAGGCATGGGGGGGTGGTGGAGGTGGGGGAGGAGTAGGGCTGTGAAGCCAACTCGAGAAACAGACTTAGGATTTGCATTTGTCGGGTGCGTAAATGCCTCGGCATCTGAACGCACCTGACATAACATCTCGGCTAAACCGTTCCTTTCCATGTATAAGACAAGCCTATGGGACCACCAGTGGCAACCATTCCTATGCGGCACAAGGTGTATGCAACACCGGCCTGCAAATGGATACCGTTGGCCGATGGGAAGAGGTGTTGCTATCTCGTTATTACAATTCGGTCACATTCGGGTCATATTTTTCCAACTTCGCATACAATTGGACGATGCGAGTTGGTACACGATGGCCTTCTCTCTCTCTCTCTCCAAGAACGTCATTGGATATTTAATATCTACTTTGAAGCAGACGGTGCACAATTTATGGTAATACATCCACATTATATTCTTGGTTCTTTCGGTAAAGTCACGTAGAAGGGAAACAATAAAATAATAAAAATATAAAACAATAAAATCCTCACGACGTTGCGACTGCAAAACAAGCAATCATCATCAGGTGTGAAAACCACAGCAAGAAAATTTGAAAAAGTGGCGGTTTCTTTTTACGTTAGCACTACGGAGAGCGGCCTGCTTGGTTCGAGCTGCGAAATTCTGCACCAAGTAGTCAACATGCTACCGATTGGGCCATATCAGGGGCAGGAACTCCAGGTCACACGATTTCCTGCAGTGAACACTTGACACACGGCTCACTCTAGCTGTGACTCTGTGATATAAGTCACAAGAGTATGCGGCTGTGTGCCGTTAACAAGTTTTGAAAAAAATAAAAATAAATTACCGAGCACGGCAAGTTTATGTTTTATAAATTGGCTCACTCCTTGCTGAACAGAGGCTCGAGATCTATCCGTGAGATATGTAGCAGGGGTGGTCTTTCAGAGAGATCTGTCCTGTGAATATTCATTGAAAAACTTCGGGGAATATACAAGCACAGGAAAGAGCAGCCTCTAAGCGACGTGGCATCGACAACAAGGGCCAGGTCGTATTAAAGGGCGCGCCCTGAGCACGTGGCCGTGTCAAACGAAACCTCCTGCCCATCATTGTCTATCGATGTTGCCACCAGATGCCCTTGAGATTTAAAACAAATGTAATTAAACGCATGGTTGATTCATATCCATTTGTTTTAATCCGGATTATTCTCACTGATTGATTCTGGTGGGGTGTTTAGCCAATTTATTATTTAGGATTTAAATTTCTTACGAACCAGTTGTTAACCGTAATACGATGAATATATAACAAACTAAAAATCCGTTCATCAAAGCCACACACGATAACAAACCTTTCAACTATTCACCAACGTGCCCTTAGAATTATCGTGAATAACGTTAACGTTCTAAATGATTCAAGCAAAGCAAGCACACAGCGTGTCTCAGGCCCCTCGGCAGGAGGACCCTGCCCTGGCACACTAATCCAATACTCGAATTAATGTGTTTACGTGGCTGTAGAACGGACGTCGGATTCAACTCTTTGCACCTCGATAGAACTCCTCCACGCGCTGCTGTGAGGAGTGGATAATCCACCGACCAAGTGGGCCCTCTGCCGGAGCAGAGGGCCCAATAGACCCCCACTGACAATGCCCCTAAACCCCTCCACTCTATCCCTAACACCCGGCTCGGGTGGAGGAGCGGGAGAACGCGGGGGAGAGGGGAGGAGACGGGGAGTGCCACCTCCCCTCCACTTCGACTCAGAAGGATTTGGGCTGGATGCGCATGCGAGCTGGGTCGCACTGCAGGGTGCTGAGGAGCCACGCATCCGCCAGGGCGCCCTCCGTGAACTCCTCCAGGGTGATGAGCGCTGCACGGTCAAGGTCAGGGTCAAGGTCAGTGTTTAGTTCAAGGTCGCACGCGGCACGACACGTGAGGAGGGTCATCGTGTCTTCGTTATCTACTGAGAAAAACACAAGTCTGTACATAGAACGGCAGCGCGCTTACTTTATGCGGTAGTTAAAATTTTACCGACCCTGGAGAAATGATGATTGACTAAGTTGATCTCTTCCGGTCACGAATTTAACTCGCAACTCCGGCATTTGAGAGAATAAAACTAAAACTCAAATCTGTATGAATAATAATCCTACTTTCCGTACTGTCACCTACCGGACACCGAAGCCCTGAAATTTAGGTGTCTGACACACAACGATCCTTGCGCGATTCACCAACCCTCCGCCACCTCCAATGCGTCGCAGTGACAGGCGTGGTCCATCATGGCCAACACGCGCATGGGTCAACGCGAGGGTGTGAACCCGTGTCTCCCAAGTCTGCGGCCTCCTCCGTCGAGTTAATTAAATCAAAGCAACCGCTCAGACACGCGGCCTGTGGCCAATCAATCCCTGCCATGGGCCGCGCCAGCTGTGAAACAAGCGCGGAACGACTGTGGCCGAGTGAAGAGTGAGATACGGACGTAATTGAATGATGCTTCGTCCAATTGAATGTGTATATGTGATCAGGGGACAGACACAAAACAAATCGAGTTCGATTCTTCCTCACATCCAACACCAGTGACTTTTATCTAAACCGGTCCTGGGCCTCCCCTAGGTCGACTCAGTCTCAAAATGAGTACCCGGTGAGGTGTGTAAACATTGCCACTAGGGAGACAAAGGCGGTCGTGCGTGGTGCTGGCCACCCACCCCTTCGTGTGCCGTGCCGGCCTTCATAGGTGCTCGCTAACTGCACTTGCCCTAACAGTCTGTGAAGGCTATAGGGCGATCTTTGCCTATGTTGTGTAGGAGGAGGAGGCTCGTGAAGGACGCTACTGCTCCGGTTGGAGGCAGTTGCCCTCCAAAAGCAACGGAGGCTGGAGGAGCGACGCTCACAACATCGAGCGGAGTGCCGGGTGGATAAAACGCAGCCTTGTGGCACAGTGGGGAGCACAGCTGCCGGTCATCTCAGTCGGCCAACCGACGGCGCCGCGCTGGCCGTCGCTCTTCGTGCGCACGGTGACGTCGGCTGTCGCGTACCGTCGTGATCTTTGTCGAGGCCGGCAAAGATGCGCTCCGTGCATTCCACAGGGCCCAGGGAGCCGTCTCCGCCACCCAGGGCCACGTTGATCCGGCACACGGCCTGCGTGGTACGGGCGTTGGGGGGCGGGGGGTGGGGGGAGTGCGATGGAAACAGATGGCGATGAGTCCACTTGCGGTGCTGCATTCTACTGGGGAGCCAGGGTATGGCCACCTCCTCCACGACGCCCACGGGAAGGGAGTTTCACAACATCATCTGTGTGTGATCCATCAACACTCGCGGCTGCCTCCACAGTGCTGGGTTACAGGTAGCCACGTGCATCAGCGTGGCCACCACTGCCACCCAGGATCTTTGTTGTTGCTTTATCATTGGTAGCTGCCTCTGAAGGGGCATTGTTATGCATTTGGGATTTAGGGATGACATGACAGGACAGTATCGCGTGCCCTTCCTCCCTCAACAACACTCATCACTACCCCCACCTCTTGCGACCTTTCTAACTCCTTCTCTACCTTCTTGCCACAAGAAACGTGAACCAGTATCTCGACGCTGGGGTGTGTCTGTGTGAGAGGTGGTGGATCAATGAAATAACTTCATTGGAAAGCCATGCATGTATGTATGTTGAACTTCTTTCTCATCGTACTTAGCCAACCGTGCTAATGGAGCGACATCGCCCTCCGACTGGCAGCCTCACGCACGCTTGCAGGCCGCTGCCGCGTCCACCTCGCGCCGCACAGGGCCACCTGGCACCTCGAAGTCTCCGCCGCAGGGCGCCTCGGGATAAACATGAAGCGATGATGGTGGTGGTGGTGGTGGTAGAGGCAACATTCTCACGTTCATGATCTCCAACATCTCGGCTCTGGTGATGGCTCCATCGCTGTCCCGATCGCACAGCTGGAAGGACCAGTGGAGCCTCTGCTGGGGCGAGCCCTCGAGCAGGAGGCTGAGCGCCGTCACGAACTCCAGGAAATCCACGGCGCCGTCCTGCGTGCGCAAAGCGGTACTCGATTTATGCGCCTCCCGGCAGGATGATGGGTTGAGTGGCTGGCGGCACCACGCTGCGCGGCGTGACGCTGCTGTGAGGATTGACGTAGCGCAGTAAGACGCCACGTGACGGCAACATCTTAGACCTTTGGTTATTAACTCGGGGTGCACGCTGGGGGTGCGAGACGTGGCAACTGTTTTTAGAAGGTAAATCGTCGAAACAAATTACGCACGGGCACGTAAGTACAACTACTTTGTTTCATCAAACCTACGTGTTTATGAACATTGTAATTTTTTTTACGATTGAGTAGCAAAGAGCTGCAAGGAATGTTCAGAACCACTGCCTTAAACGTGGGGACGGTAGAACGGAATAGCGTGACAGCACAGAGTGGCACACCCGAACTTGACACAACCCGCTCTGGAGCATCGTGGTGAAGTCTGGTCTAGTCACGACGGCGTGAGGTGGGGGCATCCAGCAGTGGACTGACACGTGGTCGGCACACGGCATTTTCCTCATCCTACAGCCCCCTCGCACACAGCGCTCACCGAGAGCCTGGCAGCGCGTGTCGCATCTGCTTCCGACCCGCAGGGTGACGGCTCGACTCAGTGTTCCGTGACAGACAGAGCCAGTGGATTCATCGGCTTGATGTCGACTCAAAATGGCAATCGGCTACTTTTCCGTGCTCAATTACTCGGGTACCCAGAAGCACACATTGGAGTAGTCGGACCGGTACATCGGTAGAGTGATCGATTACGTAAATAAGCAAATATCCCAGTTCTGACACACCGCTTAATCGCACTTTTGATGGTCACGGTTGGCTACGTACGGTGCGAAAGAAGTTCAACACACACACTCGACACACATCGCACCCCAACCACCCCCCCCCCTCCCCCGCGACCCCTCGCCACGGGCCAGGATTCGCGAATGACAAACAGCCAAATCAAATTATTTCCAATTAAAGTCCAATTAAAGATCGGAAGCTCAGATCTCGACCCTTGGCAGCAGCGTCTGCCGCTCCCCCCCCCCCCCCCCCCCCGTTGAGGCCAGGGGCCGTGATTAGCATTTGAAGTGGATGGGGTGCGGGTCGGGAGAAGACTTTGAAGCCTCGCCCATTACATTTTACATCGAGGATTAACAAACCAAAAAAATGATGATTGTGGATTTGGCAAACTTACACAGATACACACACACACACAAAGACCTCCCCTTAACAGACTCTCTAGTCAAGTGCTGTTAGCGGACATCGATAAAGGCCGGAACGACACACGAGTGGGTGGGTGGTGACTTCCTTAACAAACACCACGCCCGGCCGCCTTTGTCTACAAAGTGCTGATGTTTCACACAGCGTGCCAAGTACTCGAGGCTGAGTCGACCTAGGGGAGGCCCAGGACCGGTTACGATAATTGTCACTGGTGTTGGCTGTGAGCGTGAATCGAACTCGGGTTGCTGGGTTCGGAGCGCAGTGCACTAACCACAACACCACCGCTCCCCTCCACACACACAGATACACGCACACACATGCACCAGCTGTACACATAGTTACTTAGGCACTAATTAAAGTGAAAGGAGGTGATTATTCCATGTAAGCCCATAATTTGCATATCCTTGACCCACGCATGCAGTATGTATACTGTATTATTTTCAATTTCCTGTAGCACACACTTGACAGTCAATATCTGATTTACCAAACATTCTATTCGTCTTATTACATGGGTACTGCGTCAGTGTGAACACATAGATGGTTTAATTCCAGCACACAAACACACAATTACAATTGCAAACACACAGATACAAACACAAAAAAGAAAAATATTCCCCGTATAGCCTTTAACAGACTGTTGGGGTAAGTACAGTCATCACGCGCCTACGATGGTCGGCACGGCACACGAGACGTTTGGTGGCCAGCACCACACCTGGCCATATATCCCCACAATGCTGATGTTTAGACAACACACCAGGTGCTCGATTAAGGCTGAGTCGATATAGGAGAGGGCCTAGATATTTCGTCATCGATGTTGCTCGTGAGCGGGAATCGAACTGAGGTCGCCGGGTTCACAGCGCAGCGCGCTAACCGCTACACTAGACACACACAGACACACGCGTAATACACACACACGCGTAATACACACACACAGACACAGACACACGCGTAATATACATACACACACAGACACACGCGTAATACACACACACACAGAGACACACACGTAATACATACACACAGAGAGAGAGACACGTTATACATACACACAGAGAGACACACGCGTAATACATACACACAGAGAGAGAGACACGTTATACATACACACAGAGAGACACACGTGTAATACATACATACACACACTCGCTTGCTAGCGCCCCCACCGCATTGGTGTCCATGGTGCTGAAGAGGCGCTCCGCGTATTCGGCCGAGCCGGGACCCAGCGCCCCCGCGGCGCACACGTGGCGCCTGAATTCGTGCTGCGTGATCATTCCGCTTGGGCACTCGCGCAGGAACTTCCTGGGGGCAGCCGCATACAGGGGCACGGCCAGGGGTGACCGCGGGCACGGCCAGAGGGAGGCGGGGGCCATGGCAAGGAAAGGCGGGGACACGAATAGTGGAGAGGTCGGGGCATGGCCAAAGGCAGTAGTGCCAAGGCCGAAGGAGGTCAGGGCGATGTCATTGGAGGTCGTAGAAGGGCCAGGGAAGGTCGGGGCGTTGTCAAACGAGGGCGAAGTACGACCAGAGGAGGTGGGGGCATGGCTGGAGGCAACATCGGTATGGTCAGGTGGTAGCGGGGGGGGCTTGTCCAGTGGAGGAGGAGGTCACGGGCAGGGGATGTGATAGGGGTGGGTGGACAGTGGAGACCGGAACAAGAGTTGAAAACGCCACATTCATAAGGATGGAACAGGTGGGTACATATTCGAAAACAAACACACGAGTCGCTTCCTACATAATTGTGTTGATTCATTTTTAGCCTGGATTTGCAATGAAATAATACAAATCCATACATTCACCGCACGACTTATGAACACTGCCTTCATTATATTCATGACGCATTGCAATTATGTAGGCTTTACCACACCTTGTCGGGCATGTGGGGGTTGTTTGTCCATACTTCACCACTCTTTTCAATGCGGAGCGCAACACTGGTTCGGATTTTACTCGCCACTGGCGTTAGCCGTGACCGGGGAATCTAAAATTAGATCGCCAAGGTTATTTTCCCGGTGCGCTAACAACCGCTAGCGCCGACGGTTCGGGCAATGGCCCTTCTTTAAGCAGATGAGCGAGAAGGCAGGGGGATGGTGGATTGCTTGAATCCATCTGTACGGCACTAGACGGGAGGGTGACTGCTGCTGCTATAATCTACTATATGGCGAGGAAGGGAGGCGGTGTCTCCGGACATTATCTCCCTCACACATTTTTCTGGAGCAATTCCCAGCAGCGCGTTATTTTTTTCGGAGTCTTTTCATCATCGTTGCTCTTGAAATCCCTTTACGCATCTAATGACCTCCGCCGTTATCGTTTTGTCTCTGTAATGAAAACAGTTTAATCTCCCCGATCTAGCCGCGTGTGGTGGATCGTACGAGTGGAAGAAGTCTTGGGAATTAATTCATTCGCTCACTTCTGCATGCTCCTCCGGGATGTACGAGAGTGCGTGCGTGTCTGTGTGTGCGTGTCTGTGTGTGCATGTCTGTGTGTCTGCGTGTCTGTGCACCACCTGTGTTCCCCACTGTGTCACGCACACACAGACTAGAAACAACTACACAGATCCCCCGTATGGCATGTTACAGGCTGTTGGAGCAAGTGTTGTTTGCGAGCACATATGAAGGCCGACACCAGCACAAGAGGGCATGGGTGGCTAATATCACGCCCAACCACTTTTGTCTCCCCAGTACTGATTACACACCCCATCATGTACTCATTTTAAGGCTGAGTCGACATGAAGGAGGCACAAGAAAGGTTCAGATATTCTCCAACGACGTTAACCGTAGTCGGGAATTGAACCCTCGTGACCGGATTCGAAGTTCAGCGGCGCTAACCACTGCGCCATCGCTCCCCCTCCGCGCGTGCACACACACACGGACACGCGTGCACACACACACACGTGTGCTCACACACACACGGACACGCGTGCCCACACACACACACGGACACGCGTGCACACACACACACGTGTGCCCACACACACACACGGACACGCGTGCCCACACACACACGGACACGCGTGCACACACACACACACACGTGTGCCCACACACACAACCACACGGACACGCGTGCACACACACACACACACACGGACACGCGTGCACACACACACACACGCGTGCCCACACAAACACACACACGTGTGCCCACACACACACACGGACACGCGTGCACACACACACACACGGACACGCGTGCACACACACACACGCGTGCACACACACACGCGTGCACACACATACGCGTGCCCACACACACACACACGGACACGCGTGTACACACACACACACGCGTGCACACACACACACGCGTGCCCACACAAACACACACATGCGTGCCCACACACACACACGGACACGCGTGCACACACACACACGCGTGCACACACACACACACACGGACACGCGTGCACACACACACGGACACGCGTGCACACACACACACGCGTGCCCACACACACACACGCGTGCCCACACACACACACGTCCCCACACACACACACGTGTGCCCACACACACACACGTGCCCACACACACACACGCGTGCCCACACACACACACGTGTGCCCACACACACACACACGTGCCCACACACACACACGCGTGCCCACACACACACACGCGTGCCCACACACACACACGCGTGCCCACACACACGTGTGCACACACACAAACACACGGACACGTGTGCCCACACACACGTGTGCCCACACACACACACACGTGTGCCCACACACACACACACGCGTTCCCACACACACACTCACGCGTGCCCACACACACGCGTGCACACACACAAACACATGGACACGTGCCCACACACAAACACACGGACACGTGTGCACTCTCGCACCTGTACCACTCATGCAGGTGATGCGCCACGCTGCGCTCGCTCCCCGCTCGCTCGCCGCTGCCACTGCTCGCCAGCCCCATCGCGACAACTTTCAGTGCGCCCTCGCTGCGGCTTCTCCTAAGCGTGGCTGGGCCTGCACAAGGTACACAAGACAAATATCCACCGTATAGTCTTAACAGACTTTTTGTGGCAAGTGTTATGAGCGAGTAAGCAGTACTTATGAAGGCCGGAACGGCGAACTAGGGGGGCGGGGGGTGTGGCCACCGCCACCGCCTTCGTTTCTAGAGTAGCGATGTTTACTCATTTGAAGATGCCTCGACCCAGTGGAGCCCCAGGACCGGATCAAATACAAGGAATCGTAACTGGTGTTGGCCGTGAGCGGGAAATCGAACTGGGTCGTCGGCTTTGTCGCGCAGCGTGCTAACCGCTGCGCCACCGCTCCCCACAGGGTACATGTGCACACACTGGGTACATGTGCACACACTGGGTGCATGTACACACACTGGGTACAACCGATGCAATAATATTTGACGATGGATGGTGATGACAATGATGATAAATTCATGATCATAAAATGTAATGATGAAGAAATTATTTTAGTGATGACGAAATAAGGATGATTCGATGATCACGGTGATTACATGAGAATTAAACTATGATAAAAACGATTTCGAGAATACAATTATCTGACGTTTCGCTCCACGTGCTCGGAGCGGAACTCATAGCTGTGAACCCCTTATCAGTGCCCTACCTTATTACAGACCAACTCAGACCTTATTGGTCACCCCGTGCCCTTATAAATCTCAACGTTCAACCTACAAAGTCTCATCACAAGGGAGGTACACACAAACAAATAGTCCAATAATAATGTTGCCCGTATTGAAACGGCTGTACGCCGTATGGACCTGAAAAACTCGATTTCCCTGTACGAGAATACGGGTGACACGCGTGGGTTGACAGCTGTGGGGACCTCGGACACCGCGTGCCGAGCCACACGCGGTACCCGACCCGAGAGCACCGCGAGAGAGCCGCCAAACTTCGCTTTTGTCTCAGACGAGCGTCCAATACCTGTGCCGACAGCGTCCTCTGCAGATGGCGATGCGCAGGTGACAGCACGTGCGGTCTAGAGTGTATATATACACACACACGTCGTGTGGGGGGGGGGGGGTAGGGGGCTGCTGGTGGGAGGAGTGGGGTGAGAGGTGTCCACTAAAAGAGGGGTGGGTCCCCCTGCTAAATCAGAGGCAGGTGTCAAATCGTCTGCCCGCCCCCCGACGAGGGCGCAAGCCCACAAACCCCGCGGCTGACTCGCGCGCTCGACGCCGAGTGGATTTGACAATTAGCGAAATGAACATCGGATCGCGCGTCAGAGCCGGGCTGACACGCAGCTTCATGTAATCATCTCCACACGGGTCGCACACACACACACAAACACACAAAGACACAGATCTCCCGTATGGCCTTAATTGACGGTTTGGGAAAGTGCTGTTAGCGAGCACCTATGAAGGCTGGCACGGCATACGAGGGGGTGAGTGGCTAGCACCACGCCCGGCCGCCTTTGTCTCCCTCGTAACGATTTTGACACAACGCACCAGGTAATCATTTGAGACTGAGTCAACCTAGGGGAGACTCAAGACCGGTTCAAATATTCGCCACTGTAATTGGTCGTGAGTGGGGATCGAACTTGAGTCACCCCATTCGTAGCTCACTATGCTAACCATTACAGTGTAACCATTTTTATTTTATTTTTGTTCCTGGCTAGTAAGTGTTATTTCCTAATTGTTTATGCCTCAAAAGTACAGAAAATGGCTATTATTCACCACAAGCTTTGCGTTTGCGACCAGGACATTGATATTTTGAAATTTACCTATTTTCCAGAACATTCCAGATAGATTCAGTGCTGGGAAAAATGGAGTTACTTTTAGAACATTCTAGAACTTTATAATAATATAAATTGTAGTATAAATACAGGGGCCTTAAGCCCACCAGTTCAGTTTAGTTCCAGCTGCCTTCGTGGATACATATCTGCATTTTTCTGAGATGCCATCAAGAGGCTGCAAGCATCCGGCAGACGCATTTTGCTATGTCTGCGGCCAATTTAGCAAGACAAGAGCGAAAAAGTACTCTGTGGAAGCCTCTGCTAAGATGTGCGAGGCCTACAACAAGGCATATTTCGGCATACCTGTTGGGGATCAAGACAAACCCTGAGCACCTCATGTCACCTGCCAGCAATGCAAAAAAACTCTGGAAGGTAAGATGGACAATTGTTGCTCGCAATTTTACGTTATAAAATTTGTTAACATTTTTAAAATAGTGAAAGTTTTTAATTTTAAATAAATGTTACAATTTTCAATGTTATTAAAAAAATATATATCATATATGAAAAATGTTGCGATAATCTCTTACACATTAGTCATGGGTGAAATAAATGTGTTTTTGTAGGATGGTATAGAGGGGAAAAGAGAGCCATGAATTTCGATTTAAAGCTTTCGTGACTGCAATGATTCATCTTCTTTGGTTCTTTCGGTAAAGTCACGTAGAATGAGAATAAAATAATAAATTGATAAAATAAAATAACACAATAATATTCTCACGACGTTTCGGCCACAACACAAGCGGCCTTCATCAGGTGGAGTGCTCTCCAGCGCTGTCCTACCAGACAGTCTCGCTCCCTTCACCTGATGAAGGCCGCTTGTGTTGTGGCCGAAACGTCGTGAGAATATTATTGTGTTATTTTATTTTATCAATTTATTATTTTATTCTCATTCTACGTGACTTTACCGAAAGAACCAAAGAAGAGAGCCATGAAGTTCGCTATCTCAAGAATTTTTGCGGGAACCCACTGACCACTCAAGCAACTGCTACTTCTGCATGGTGGACCCTTCCAAACGTCGGACTGGCAAGAATGCACCTGCTATCACGTATCCGGACCTGCCTTCATCCATTGCCCCGGTGCCACACTGCCATGAGCTCCCCGTACCCACTCCTCCGAAGAGGGAGCAGCCGTCTTTAGAAGAGAGCAGCAAGTCAGAGAGCGAGGAAGACGTTGTACAGTAGATCCAGATGACAATTTCAGAGGTGGAGCTGAGGAGAGATACCGATACTGCCCCAACCAAAAAGACCTCAACGACTTGATCAGAGATCTTGGTCTCACCAAGTCCAATGTCGAGTTTTTGACGTCTAGGCTCAAGCAGTGGAACTTGTTGGATGAAAGTGTGCAAGTCGCAGATCAGAGGAAGCGTCACCAACCTTGTTGCATCTTCTTCACCCGTCAAGATGGGCTCTGCTTTTGCCACAATGTGACCAGTCTGTTCAAGGCAATCGGAATCGCCTGTAACCAGAATGAGTAGCGCCTCTTCATTGACAGCTCATCCAGGAGCCTCAAAGCCATGCTGCTCCATAATGGTAACAAGTACCTGTCTCTTCCCCTGACTCACTCGGTGCACCTCAAAGAAGATTACAACAGCATCAAGACCTTGCTGGACGCCTTGAAGTATGATGAGTACGGCTGGGAGGTCATCAGAGACTTCAAAATGGTTGCATTCTTGATGGGTCTCCAAGGTGGTTTTACCAAGTTTCCCTGCTATCTTTGCCTTTGGGACAGCAGGGACACCAAGGCGCACTACCACAGCCGGGACTGGCCACAGCGGACCGAGTTCTCTGTGGGGAGGAACAACGTCAATTGGGAGCCACTGGTGGACCCCCGGAAGGTGCTGTTGCCACCACTGCACATCAAATTGGGCCCTATAAAACAATTTGTTAGAGCTGTAGATAAGGAGTCGGCAGACTTCAAGTACCTTCAAGACTTCTTCCCTCAGCTGTCTGAGGCAAAGGTCAAAGCCGGTATCTTCGTCGGACCAGAGATAAAGAAGATCCTGGAGTGCAATGAATTCCCCAAGAAGCTCACGAGTAAGGAGAAAGCGGCTTGGGACAGCTTTGTTGCAGTGGTTCGTGGCTTCCTGGGCAATCACCAGGTCGAAAACTCTGTGGAGCTGGTTGAGACTCTGGTGAAGAACTATGGTACAATGGGCTGTAGGGTGTCTCTCAAAGTCCATATCCTTGATGCTCATCTTGATAAATTCAAGGGGAACATGGGAGCGTACTCGGAGGAGCAAGGCGAGCGCTTCCACCAGGATATACTGGACTTTGAACGTCGCTACCAAGGACAGTATAACGAGAACATGATGGGAGACTACATTTGGGGGATGATTTGTGAAAGTGATTTATAGTATCATGGGACCTCCTTTGCCAGTACTAAAATATAAGAATAGATTTTTCCCCTTTTTTCTGGCAATAAAACTTAAACCTTTTAACAAGGAATCATGCCTGCATTAACCACAATACTTGTGGTCAGAATGCAAACAAAAAACATGCACTGATAATATATGCATTGTCCTTGAAACTGATTGGTCCACACCAGAGACAACTGGTGTAGACCAATCAGAAATATTTACAGTATAATCTTAAATCTCGACAAACTACTTACTTCTAAATCTGGTTGGTTTTTTGAACACAGATTCGCCCGTTTTCTCATAGAAAAGAGGTACATTTCAAAATATCACTGTCCTGGCCACAAAAGCAAAGTTTGTGGGGAATAATAGTCATTTTCCATACTGTTTAGGATTTAGCAATTACGAAATAACACTTTCTAGCCAGGCACAAAAATTATGTTACATAGTGTTATGCGCACACACACGCGCGCACACACACGCACAGTCACATACGCGCCCAGGGAATGTCAACTAAGCTCTTTTACTGCCCCCCCCCACCACCACTACTCACCATCATCCCTTACCCCCCACACACCATCATCCCTTACCCCCCACACAGGCTTTCTGCTCATTACGCATTTTCCTAATGAATGCTGGGGTGTGCGCTTCGGCGGATTGAGGGTGCATGGACGAAATGAAACGATGCAATTACAACGTGGATTTTCTATGTGTAATGCGTGCACGTGTGGCCGCGTCTAGAGACGCTGTACAGAGACAGTCGAAGTATTTGCTTTAGAGAGAGAGAGAGGCGGTCATTGGCAGAGGAGGTCTTGAGCCTGGACTTTAACATTGACAGGGAGTCTACAGCATGGATGGCTGGGGGTGGGTGGAAAGTTCTAGACTGTGGGGGCAGCAGCAACAAACGTTGGTTCTAAACATAAAACACCAGAGGCGTGTCCGTGGACACACCAGAGGCGTGTCCGTGAACACACCAGAGGCGTGTCCACGGACACACCAGAGGCGTGTCCACGGACACACCAGAGGTGTGTCCGTGGACACGGTGCGACGCGGGGACGTGTGGCCAGCAGTGGAACTGCAGGGTACGCGAGGTCGATTCGCTGCGTAGAAGTGTGCAGAATATAAATGAGGATGGTGATAATGATGATAATAATAATGATGATGATGGTGAGATGTATCCCAGGGATTAACCAGATTGGATCGGGACAGAAATGGTGGCCATATCAGACGCGCTGAACGAATGTCGACTCTCTATGTTCTGTGAAGGGGCAATGCCCGGAACGTCGCAGTGTAATTTACGAATGTGTTAGAGTGTTGTTGTTGTTTTTGTGTGCTAAGTGTGCTTGTGCACCACCACTGCCAATGCAGCAGCAGCAGCAGCATCACCAGGGGATTTGTTCGGGACAGGGAGCGGGGCTCAGGCTGGCGACACGGGGTGACGACCTTGACCCAGCAGTGGCACCACACAAGGTGATATATATTGATAACGTCACTCACTCTGCTCGATGCAAATAGATGCATATAGGTCAGGACATGTGAGAGCGCCTGTCACAACGTGCGCCGAATTCGGTGACCAATATCTGAAAAGACCCTGGGGCTCCCCTAGGTCGACTCGGCCTCAAATGAGTACCTGGTGTGTTGTGTACACATCGCCACTGGGGAGACAAAGGCGTCCGGGCGTGGTGATGGCTGACGACTCCTCTTGTGCCGTTACCGGCCTTCATAAATCCTGGCTCACAGCACTTGCCCCAACAGTACGTTAGGGCTATACGGGGGATATGTGCCTTTGGTGGGCGTCAAAATTGTTATTCTCCCGTGTCCCGTGAAATTTGTGTAATTGACGTCTCCGCTGCTGCTAGTCTTTTGTTGTTGTTGTAAATAAAATTAACTAGACGTAACAATGAATAGTAGCTCTTGACACTGCTGGATGAAGGCCTCCACAAGCCGCGTAAATCATCGGGAT